CACCACACGGCATCTTCGTTTAAAACAGCTACGAATAGGGGCAGTACCTTAGTTATTTATGCAACCATCGTAGCCATTTGTAGCCTTCTTTGTATGAAATTTGTTGTAGATGTCGTTGACATGACATTAAAACATTTAATTTTATTAGCCATTGGACTGTATAGTAACTCAGATTTTAATTGCCGAATATTCAAACGCTACTCAATTTTAAGATGTTGCTAATTCTCGTGGTGTTACAATCACATTCTAAAATTGAGCAGCGTGTATTTGGGCATAAAACACCGAAACCTTAGAACATATTTTTGAAAACAACTTGTAGAACCCAATGCTGTGTACTTTTACGGCGAAAGAACGTGAATGCCTCTATTATTACCAAGGGTTTTCAAATTATGTTTTTGTAAAAGAGGCAATAAAAACCAAGAACTTTTAAAAACAAACTGAAATTGCAGTTTTTAGAACCATTCAACGGTAGAAATTGTAACTAAACTTTAAATTTAATTAGATAATCCGTTTTTCTATTAGATCCTAATATTAATCAGCCTATTAAAGTTCACTACCTGCTCAACAGTCAACACGTCCATCCCAAAGTATCTACTGTCTATAATTGTCATCCGTTGCGGCGATTCAATTACCGCCATTTTTCGCATTTTTTTTAAATACTTTAATTAGTATTATACTTTGCTTTTAGCAATAACGTTATAATCATACATAAATGTAAATGAGAAAAACATATTTATAATATTTTACATTTAAGGTCTGCATGTCAGAGAAATAAATAAAAAAAATATATTTCGAAGACGTGTGAAGTTCGCGAACACGCATTGAAAGAATCTCTCAGAAATGAGCGGAGGTCTGTGCCCAGCAGTGGGACGTATATAGGCTGTAACTTTACTTTACTTTTACATTTAAAGAAAACACGATATTAAGTAAATTATTTGTCCTGGGCAGTAAATACAAGCCGCAACGGTTGCAACGTAAAAGAAATGACACCATTTAGAAAGATACTGTTGAGGACCTACTGAACATAGTGCTTCCTTTAGACTTTTAGACTGTCTCTTTAGGAGGACGTTTGTCATAGTCATCACACTTGGTAAGCGGTTTGGAAAACACAGTTTATTTTAATTTTATATCAGGTATGCTGCTAGCCATTTACAGCCTAGTTGTATCAGATAGAAGATATTCTTACACGTAAACGGTTAATAAAAAATAAAATAATGCGAAAAAACCATGATCAATATTTCCTTAAAGGATAGTTAAAGAAAAACAGTCATCTCATGGTAGATAACAAGCACCATCATTGGCAGGCTCCTAGTTAAATCGACCTATGTCACCCCAGTGCCCAGTGGTGCAATACAAAAATAATTTGTATTACAAGCCATGCCAATTTTCACACGACATTTTTTATTGGTTAGAACGTGATAAAGCGTAGCGATTCAATTTGCGATTCATTTGTGCCAATGATCGAATATAAGTGGTAGAGCCACGCTACAGTAACATTATGATTGTAGTACGAATGGGTGGGCTCTACTGAGGTAGAAGAACCACAATCTCACGTAATACAAGTTTTTACTGGAAAACGAGGCATTCCATGTTAATCCTCAGGGGTTCCTCACATTTGCATTTTGATTCTTAATAGAGGATATAATATTTTAGAGACGTCTATGAGCTACAGCGTCCACTTACTATCAGATGGACTTTGTGCGCGTTTGTCAACTTTGTTCTATAAAAAACAATCTGATTGTGTTATTATGAAATATGAAGGGTCCTGGTACCGAGCTAACGCTTTTGTTTATTATTGAGCAATATTACACTAGTTAAATGGCCAAGAAAAATTATCGCAATTATAAAAACATTATACAGAAACAAAATCATTCATGTATATACGTAAATAACTATTTAATTTTTCTAGTTTTTGGTTTTATTTTTGTTAAATAAATTAATACCTTCTTAGTTTTTAAAAGATTTTTTTTGAAAATTGTAACCTAATTTTTTCAATGTGCTTAATTTCGAATCTCTGAATAAATTAAGCCCGCTAGTACAAAAGCAATCGATTTCATACTCCGAACAAAAGTTGTAACCGTTTCGTAGGCAGCTGAAATTTGTGTGAATGAACAGAATAGTATTCTATATACAAATCAAAGGCGGACAATTTGCTAAATAGCACAACAAACACTTCACCCATACCGGGCCTATTACACAATATCGCTAAACCCTTCTCAAGAAATGTATTATTGGATAACCTCGAGTAACTATTAAATGACATTTGACTTTGATTTTCCCGGATTAAATTTCAGTACGATTAATGCAAGGTCATTACTTACATTAAACAAAGTTTAATTTATACTAGCACTATGAGTATAACAGTATATATTAATGATTTTAACAGTTTTCCTGTGAGCGAAAAAACAAGAATTAAATGATCTAAATGTTCATATGTATACCAGTACGACTCACGGGACGGTGAAATAATTAAGTTGCACCCGTCTTCATTAGCCTGTAAGCTCTGCACTCTTTAACTAAACCTTGGCCTTTTCAGTAGAAAATACTTTTGCCAGCAGCCATGTTTTATGTTCCGGAAGGGAATAGAGATAGAGCCGGTGTAATTAGAGGCTGTAAGGCATTCCATCTTAGTCTACATAACCGCCCGATTGACCTTGGGTACTCCTAGTACCCAAGCGAATTTATGGGTCGATTCCCAAGCACTGAATTCTTATTAGAAATGTGTTTCTCATTCTATCATAAGCTTGTTCTTATTCAAATATATTTTAATTTCAATCACATCAAACGTTTTCGCCCACCAAAGTGACAAAAATGTACACCACCATGAAAATTACAAGGCGCCTGTAGCCTTTTTATTTGAAGTTAGTTGCAGGTGTCCATGTACTGCAGTAGCCACTTCACTAGCCATCACCATGTTAGTAGATTGTAATTTCCTATCCTATCCTATAATTAATAAAATTAAATCCCAACCCAAGCATACAAGTGCAATATTTTAACATACTATAAGATCATACTTTTTTTTTTAACATGGGGAAATGCCTACGCATACCCGCCTCGCGGGGTAAGGACGGGTTATGTCGGACTCGCACCGACTAAAACCCCATGGTGTTCCACCTTCGTCGCATATTGGCAGGGCTCCGGGAACGCTTTCGCACACTTCCGCGGCCCTACCAGCGACTGCCGCCCATGGCAGCACCTCCTCGGGAGAGGAATATTCCTCCCCGTTCTCCTTCTCAAGTAAGGCGCACCAGAACACATGGCACGCCTTTCTCCACGGCCTCCAATTACATCTGCGCAACAGACGCCCCCGCGTCCGATACGCGAAGGCCACGGGGCCAGGAAAAACGAGCACTTAGAAGTACTAGCCTTCCCGACCCCAGCGGCGGAACTGGTCTATGGCTCCGCCGCCAACCAAGATTCGGCTGCGGAGGATAGGGAGAGCGGCGCCTCGCAATACCGACAATCCTCTCCCCCCGCAGCCCCATTACGTTTGAGTCGCGGAGGATAGGGCGAGTGGCGCATCGCCATACCAACACTCCTCTTCCTCCGCGACTCCACCTCGGCTGCAGCGGTAGAGGGTGCGGAGTCCCCACTCGCTGCAGTCCACCAGCACACATCCGAAGTGGGCTCCCCAAGCCCACTCGGAGTGGTTACCTCATGCCGGCCCTTCACCTCGGGCCAGCCACGTGGGTTCCTCTTTGTTCACCGTGGGAGACCAAGCCACGGCTACTAAGCCCCCCCGCCACGACAAAGATTATACTGCGGTTAACTATAACATCTGGACGTTGAACATCTCAGTCCGCCCGCGTGACCTATGGATGGATGTGACTATGGAACGCGTATACGAAAATAACTTTTTTTGAGGTCTCCGATTTTGTGTCTCAAAGTCGCGCTTAAGCACTTTTTTATTCCCAGAAAGATATACAGAGGCTACCGTGATCGATTGATCACCGGTCATGGCCACTCTGAAAACCGAAGCTCCTAGATCTGTCAACTGAGGCGTTCAATGGGGACGACGTGTAGGGATGACATAATATATAAGTTATATCATTTAAAATGAAGGTTACATGAGCTTAATGCTCATGTAACCTTTAACCTTTAAATGTGATTTAAAAAAAATATATAATAAGAAAATATTTCGGAGTATACTCCTATTTTGGAGTATACTTTATAATGTAGATTTTTTAGATTTGAAGTCGCTTAATAGAGAATTTGCTATCCCCTACGCATCTCCTTTTACGCTTAAGGCATTCGTAAGGCAGTCGGAGGAAATGAAGCAGACCAGCTTATCTTTACGGAAGGCGTGTCCAATCAAGATTGTTTTTAAATTAGGATTAATATGAACGTGCGCAAATATTTTTCTAATAAGGGAATTAATAAAAACGAGGACTAAAATATAATATTTTCACCAACTCGGATTCGATCTCTGCAGGCGTCCATCAAATTGATATTTGCAATTTTAAGCGCTGATTTAGGTACCCCTTGCTCTGCTGTGCAGGAAATAAAATATTTCGAAGGTCTTTGAAGTTCAGATTCAGCAGGGACTATTGTTAGGCATTTTTGATTTAATCTTGATGTAAAATACTCAGACCCGTTGATGAAGAGCAACGTCTAAAGAACGATTTGATCTAATAATGATTTCTTATGTTTACACGAACACAAAGTACACATTTAAATAAAATTAGATTTTACGGATGTCATCGCGTATATTAACTTATTTTATATTTTCGACGTTTCGAGTACGAGTACAACGTAGTTGAATGATCTGAATGAAATCCGTCGAATGATCATGGGTGATATAATGTACTCGAAACGTCGATAATATAAATTAGTTAATAAAATCGGTAAAATCTCGTTTTAGTTAAATGTGCAGTGTAAATATAAGAAATCATTAAGTTCAATAGTTATTGAGTTTAATTTTAAACGCAAATAGCTATATCATCTGTGTGGTTTTGTTCAAATATTTGACATATTTTGACGAGCTTTAAAAAATATCTTACCAAAAACAATCATTTGATTAGTTCTTGAATCCTCTTCCATGAATGTTGAAACGACACACGTGTAATCACCAGAGATGTCGGTGTTGGGCTTCACTATGCGGAGTGCTCTGTGCATTTTTAATGGTTCGCTTGATGCTCTGTAGGCTAAGTCAACACGACCTCTCAATATCCCCATATCCTGTGGCTTTTGCGACACGATCCATTGGTAGACAGGTCTAGCTTTGTTTCTGAAAAACCACTTCACTACCAGTCCCGATGTGTTGTTACCGTAAGTATAGTCACAGTCCAGAATCACAGTGTCTTGCACACCGTACTGTATTATATCTGGCACTACTATTTTCACTATTTTAACTGCATTCAATTCTGAAACAAAGAAATACAATTGAGTGTAATTTTCATACTAATATGATAAGTAATAAAAATACGTTTACTTGATGTAGTGGTGTCAGCCAAAATACTTTCGATCTGTGAAGATCCAAAAATATTTTGGTTGCAAGTAGCATATTGTAAATGAATCACGTTTAAAGTTATTGAAGTTACTTTATTAATTTTTTTAAAATCTGATGTTTCATAACATTTTTTTATGAATCAAAAGTAACAAACAAACTTACAGTCCACCTGAGTGAGAGAAGTGGCGAATGCAGCCCAGCTATATCACGGGTCTCCTAGGTTTGAAGCCTTAGGGTCATAACGATTATTTTAGTACTTTCTAAGGGTTTTTTCTGCTTTTACCTATATTTCTGAACTATTCGCAAAGTGCGCGAACTAAACAAACATACGATTATTTTGCATTTCAGTTACTACTGTGTATTGTGACATTTAACGACATCTAGTGGCAAGTGATACTATGTATTAACAGGTATCATTAGTTGTAATTAAATATTTCGGAATTTCCGCGTTGGTTTCAGAAAGATTTGGTGCTGTATTCCAATCACTTCGAGATGGCAGTAATTGCATACAAAAGGGCTAGCGGCGCAACCGCGAGTAAGTTTGCGTAGGAAAGGCGAAAGAAGTGAAACGGTCTATTGTGAAATAAACTTTATTTCTTACTTTATTTAACAAAGTGTTGTGAACAATGTTGTGAACCTTCGGTGGCTAGTATATCTTAGGGGCTTGCTAGGGAGGAAAATGAAGTAATTGTTCACATCCGTTGTATTTGATTTATTTTCTACATCAGAGATGCGTGTTCACTTGATGTACTCAAAGAGAAACTGAGTACTGAACTGCTCGCTAACCGACTTAGAGACTGCCGTCCCGCCAGCGGCGGTCGTTATCATATTTCATGCGAATTACATACACATTAACACGGGTGACGCATGTGTGTGCAGCGTTATTACATCACATTATTACCCCCTTTTAAAAATAAATAAATTTGATATATCATTTATATTTAGCAAAAAGTATGTACTACTTTACCTGTAATGAACTAAGATAGTATTTTATATAATATTATTGTTTTTATTGCTTAAGTTGATTTTTGAAATAAATAGGGTGTAAAAGAGAAATATACTTTTAATTCCTTGTAATAAATATCATTGTATCCATTTTTTATTTGGTTTTACGGATAACATTTTAAATACATTTTAGTAAATAAGGTACGCCCGGATGGGATTAAATACATTCCTTTTATATTGTTTTTGAGGTCACTTCTCTTAATCATTAAATAAAAACATTTTTTCCTTACTGAAGTAAATATCGGTAAAAGTGTGATTAATTTATAAAAAAGGTTTTTATGATAAAAACTACAAAAAGCCAGTTTGATTGACAGCGAGCTAATCACGGCGTCAATAATAATCAAAAAGTCTAATATTAGCGTAGACAGACAAAAAGAAAAAGCTTTTTCTGAATATAAACAATTGATATTCATGGACAGTACGAAAATTCATCAAGGACGTATTAAATCTAGATGTTTATTCTCAATGTCTTTCTCTTCTATATAATCCACATCCATTAGCCTGCAATGCGTAAAGCATTAATATTTATGTAATTCTTAATTCAATGTTATTGAAAGCTTATTTGAATTCATCCTTTGTTCTACTTAAAAGCAGGCTTGACCTAAAAATTTGAGTCCCCTTTAAAATTTAATCATTGAACGCTTTAAAAGGTCGTGGGTTCGAATCCGCCGTTCGACTACTGGCGTGAACCACTCGTAACACAAGCAATTTAAGCTACCACGAGTGGTGAAGGGGAATATTAGTAATGTTTATAACATTAATAATATTCTTTATAATAATAAAAAATTACAAAATGGGAATATATTTTGATAAACAATTCATAAAGACCCAGTTCTTATAGCCCTTCGCCAAAGTGAATATTATTCCACGATTATCACTCATAAATTGTTGACTCATTACACAATCTTTACTGATAAAAAATATACTACTTGAATTACTTGATAATTAGTATGGGAATACAGGGCTCTTCTATTATATATTTAAATGTATACACATTTTAATGTGTATACATTTAAATGTGTAGTGTTTGCGTAAATATAAGAAATCATTAGTTAGAAAATTTGTGAAAAGAAATAAGATTTTATTTATTAACACGCTTTTGTTAGTTTCGCGTGTAGCTATTAATATTACATTAAAAAATTCCGTTATATAAATAGAAAGATCTATGTAACTTATAAAATATTTTAAGGCGAAACCGCAAAAAAAATGCACCTCCATTCATCGAATAGTATAGGATTATGACAACACTAACGAAACTGGAATTTTGCTATAGGTAAATTCATATCTTAATCTTGAATTTGCTTGTTCAACAACACGATTATAATTTAGACTCGATCATAATTATTTGCAAAAACACCTCTAAAAAATCACTACAGTTGAATTTACATCACTCAAATACTTATAATAATAATAAGTGTGCAGCCTCCGTAATTACTTCCTGGTGAGATCGGATGATCCATTCTATAAGGACGTCATTTTTTGTAATAAAGAACTTACCCCTCTATCCTTAGCCAAAGAGCAATGGCAAGACCCGGCATTGCAGAGCATTTCCGACCGGGAGACCGTATGGAAGGAGAAGAAGCTCCACGGGAGGTTCTACAAGGCTCGACATGAGCCTTTTGCAGACACAGTAGCCTCCCTCCACTGGCTACGCTTTGGTGACCTCTTCGAGGAAACCGGGGGGTTTTGTCAGTGTAATACAGGATTAGGTTATTAGGACCAACAACTATCGGAGATACATCCTAAAGGATGGCACCGTCGACATCTGTCGAGCTTGTCGCCATCCCGGTGAGTCACTTAGGCATGTCATCTCCGGTTGTTCGGCGCTTTCTAACTCCGAGTACTTGCACAGGCACAACCTAGTAGCGAGAACTCTTCACCAGGAGCTCGCTCTGAAATACGGTTTCGTGGACCGGAAATTGCCGTATTACAAGTACTTTCCGGAAGCCGTGCTTGAAAATGATCGCGCCAGGCTCTACGGGGACCGGGCCATCATCACAGACAGGACTATTCTTGCGAATAAGCCTGATATTGTGCTGATGGACCGGATACAGTCAAGGATATTTTTGGTCGACATTACCATTCCGTATGAAAAGAACCTTGTGAAAGCCGAAACAGATAAACGAACGAAATATCTGGACCTGGCTCACGAGGTGACCGACATGTGGGTGGTCTGCCGACTGAAATTATTCCTGTAGTCGTTTCTGCAAACGGGCTAATCCCAGTCAGCCTCTCGGGTCATCTGAGGAGGCTGGGACTCCATGACGGACCGCTCCAGGCACAAATGCAGAAGGCGGTGCTACTCGATACCGCCCGCATCGTCCGCCGGTTTCTTTCCCTTTCCTCCTAAACCTCGGCCGTTTGGTCTCCCCTGCCGGGGGCTTCCCGGTCTGGTTCTGGTTGGATCTTATTTATTTATGTATTTATTTTATTGATATTTATGTATATTTATCTTCTCAATTTAACTTAAAATTATACACTACTTTTTGTTTATTACAATGAACGAGTACTCAAGCAAGCATATCGCTGTAACAGTTCAACAACAAAACAAAAACGTAACAAAGTCTAACAACAATCAATAATTATGTACAGTAAGTAGATTTACTTAAAACCAGGAATGTTATCACAAAGCAGAGCGAGGGACGACTGCTCGACGGCACAAGCGCATACTGCATCCTTTTTACCTGGAGACAGCCGTTATTCTGTCTCGCTCGCACTGTTGTGCACAGCGTTTTTTACCTGCTAACACAAAGGATGCTATTGTGCTTGCTTACGATTCCTTGAATTATTGAAGAATTTTATCTTACTCACTGGAATGGGTGTTTAGTTATCTAATATCGGGGTAGAAGCACTTTGAACAGTTACATTCAAATTATCATAGCTCCTAAACTATCTAACTCAGAGTTAAGATTTAAATGTGCATTTATAGCAAATGTCCTGTATTATAATAAAAATAAGTAAAAAAAAATTGGTTAACACGATGGTTTTTTTTAAAGCTAAGAATCTGAAAAACAACATCAATTTGTTGTCTGATTTATTTTTTCAAAAATGTTTTTTACTAATACTGAAAAATTAAAAAATAATATTTTGAATACAGATTTATTGTCTACACTATTAACTAACATTTGAGACCAATTTTGTTTTTGAAAGTCTTCTACTTGGGTAGATATTGTTAAATTAATACAAGCATTTATGCTTCGCCAACAATTTTTTTTAAAGTGCTGCCATTTTTTTATTGATGGCGAAAAAAAAAATCATTGATCCCTGATTTGTCGATAAAATTAATTGTATTTTAACCCCTTAAAGTTTCGGACATCGGAAACCGGACGCATTGTATATTTATAGAACCCAACCAGATGAGAAAATTATATAGATACTCCAATAATGTAATAAATATATATGTAATAAAATAAAATAATAAAATATAATAAAATAATAATAATAATAATGTTACGAGCTTGAGGTTCGTGACAATAAAAATTGCCGATAGAATTACCAAAATTAACTCTTTAATTCACTACACTAATTAAAACTTAGAAGACACTAATAATTAATCACACTGATTCACTTTATTTCGTTCCAAAGCTTCGCTTGTCTCGCCAAATTCAATACTGCCCCGATCGCAAGTTGCAGCGCCTATAAATACACATTAGCACCGAAACATCCAGAACATTCAAGTAAATACGCGCACCAATCGACAAGGCACCGAAAGTTCGAGTGTCGAATTCTAGAAGCTTAGTTCTTCGTTTCGACACCAGATGGCGCTGTCGGTCGAAAGATTAGTGATGTCATTTTCTGGAAAGCTCCCCTCGCTCTCGTCCCTGACACTACATGACGTCAAATTAGGCTCGCAACACTGCGCTCTCCTAAGAAATGACTGACTGACTCGTCCCGAGCATTAGCGGCCCCATAATAACGCGCCAAGCTATCCACATGTACGATCTTAGGAGTCCCTCTTGCGCCCTTCTGTATCCGGTAGGTTACACCGTTGATCCTGGTTACAATCCGGTATGGGCCGTCTCATTTAGCTTGAAGCTTAGGAGATTTCCCTTTGCTGCGGACAGGATTGTGCAACCACACTAGTGAACCTTCGTCGAAGCCTTTATTGTTCATTTTGCGTTCATACCGGGTTTTCATCTTCTCAGACATTTGCTGGCCCGATTGTCTGACGTGCTCATAAATGTCATTTATTTTATTCCGCAAGTCATTTGCATAATCGGTTATACTGCGTGGGGCATCAGGTGGTATCCCGGTGATCAGGTCTGCAGGCAGCCGTAATTCTCTTCCAAAGTTTACGAAAGCTGGTGTCACTGCTGTACTTTCGTGAACAGTGCTTCG